CGGGCGCTGGAAGGAGGAAAAGACAAGGCGAGTCAAGTATCGCGAGACCTACGAACCCTCGCGAAACGTCGCTGGTTCCACGGGATTCCTGGCGCCCTGCAAGGCCGTACGCCTGACGCGTTAGGGGGGCGAAAAGGGCGGGCCTAATAGGAAGGACGTGACGTCAATAGTCTGCGCCCGGTTCCAGGCCCCTCGGAGCGGGCGTCCTCCCGCCGTTTTGGTGTCTGGGACGCCTTCGGCGTGCGGTAGCGGGCAGCTCGTGAGTTCCTGCAGCCCTCGCGTCGCCCGCATTGCCTGGAATGGTACCGGAAATGCAAGTCCTTAAACTCCCTGGCCACCTGGGTGCAGACGCGTGGGCCCGTTCCGCACGCCCCGCGAGGGGTGCAGCTCGGCCCGGAGCCCCTTCCCCCGAGGTACCGAGGCTCTGAACTCCCTCCCTCGCAGCTTGCTAGACACGTTCGGTAACGCTTGGCCGCAGCCCTTTAGAGACGAGATCTGCCTTCGCCGCCGACCGGCCTAGACCGAAGATTCTCCCCTCTACGGTGGGGTACTGAGGGGCCGTGCTGGGACTCTGCTTTATTCTCGTAACTGTATTGATCCCTTTGCGTGGGCCTTCCCGAAATTCTCCAGCCCAGAATCTGAATATAAACATGAGAGCCCCCACACACACACAGGTAGCCACACCTGAGTTCCCGTTCCTCCATGCACAGGTACAGACCACACCTGGCCAAGCCATTAACCTACTCCATAGGTTCCTGGAACCAGGCCATTTCAGGCCTTTACTATGAACTCTCAAGGCATGTCCCGAAATTCCTTCAAGCTCTCCAGCTACCTTCCACCCCTGCCCCCACTATGCCTTGTATCTCCTTACGTCACCGCGGCGTCCCTCCACAACTTTTCATTAAGTTGATCTGGTCTGTTGAGTTCACTTTCTGCTCTTTCTTTATTCTGATACCTTCATGACTTAGTTTCTTTTTTTTTTTTTTTTTGGGTCCGGTCGTGGGGCCTGAACTCTGGGCCTGGGCGCTGTCCCTCAGCTCTTCAGCTCAAGGCTAGCACTCTACCACTTGAGCCACAGCGCCACTTCCGGCTTTTTTCTTTTTGCTTATGTGGTGCTGAGGAATCGAACCCAGGGCCTCAGGCATGCAAGGCAAGCGCTCTACCACTGAGCCACCTTCCCAGCCCATGACTCAGTTTCTTAACAGGTAGGGCTTGGGCACTACCCCCAGCTATTGGTTGAGAGCAGGGCTCTCCCCAGCTCTTTATGGGACTGGCCTGGAACCTTGTTCCTTCAGATCTCTGTCTCCAGAATAACTGAGATTACAAGTGTGAGCTGCCTCACTCAGCCATAGAACCTGTTTAGTACTAAAAGCTTTAGTAGGTAAAGAGTCTCAAGAACTATTGGAGAAGAGACCTTAGTTGGGTTACTTTCTTAATAAAGAACTGAAATTTGAACATAGGGCCTCACACTTCTTGGCTGTGGTCTACCACTTGAGCCATACCTCCAGCATAGCATTTGTTGGTTATTTTGGAGTAGGAGTCTAACTTTTCTGCCCCCCACTGGCTTCCAACTATTATTATTAGTCCCCTGAGATTATAGGCATGAGCCACCAGTGCTGGTTCAAGTTATAGTCTTTAATGATGAACAGTGGTAAATACTTTCATTTATATTTTTTATAAGTGCTGGTTGTATATATTTGTAATAGTACATTGTACACGAGTTGTAATAGATGCACAAACATGTCTAAAGGATTGGATGGAGGTTGTAAGGTTCACCTAAAGAAACATGATTCAGGCAGAAAAGAGTTTATTGCAGGGAGAGCAAACTGGGCCGCATGAGAGAAAGGAAAAGGAGGGGACTCTTGTTGAGCCGGATTATATAAGGGACCACAGCAGATGCTGAAGTTATCTTAGAGCCTAGGGAACCTCTCACTTCTGAAGAAAGTGTGACTAGGGTGGTTCAGGAAATTACCTCAGCAGACCAGGAAATGACCTCAGAGTCTGGGGTTCTTTGCTGACTCACAGTCAGGTGATTGACAGGTGATTACTGGTTTCTGGCAGGTGAAGAGGAAGTGGGGGGTTGGGGGGAGGGAGGGACTGTTTTCCCAGGCAGACCTAATAGATAACAGGCATGAACCACCAGGGCTTAACATATATTGGTATTACATATGATATATATTTATACAATATTATATATACAATGATATATATTTATACAATATGTATGTTTATATATAATATGTTTATATAATAGGTAGTGTATTATTAAATATTTTATCTATGATATATTTGTTTTATTTATATATTATACAATATATATGTTTTATATATCATTTTGTGATATGCTTATTATATATCATACATTTATATATGATATATATACATTTATTTATCTGATATATAAATGTGTAATAATATAATTATATAAAATATACTTCATAGAAGCAATATCACCCCATTAGAGGGTAATTATATCTTAATATCTAAATACCATTTAAGGGGTTGGAAGCATGGCTCAGTTGTAGCACCAGCTAATGAGCAAAGCATTTGGTACTGAGTTCAAGTCCCAGTCTCAGACCAAAGAAAGAAATGGCATTTAAGCCGGGCACCAGTGGCTCACGCCTGTAATCCTAGCTACTCAGGAGGCTGAGATCTGAGGATCACAGATCAAAGCCAGCCCAGGCAGGAAAGCCCATGAGACTCTTATCTCCAATAAACCACCAGAACACTGGAAGTGGCGCTGTGACTCAAGTGGTAGAGCACTTGCCTTGAGCTGAAGAGCTGAGGGACAATGCCCAGGCCCAGAGTTCAAGCCCCATGACTGACCAAAAAAAAAAGCATTTTTTAGAGAAATGGCTGGCTTTGGATCTCAGGCCCAGAAAGTATAAAAAGTACAACGTTGAGCCTGAAATAACTTACTGGGAAACAAAGAAATACCTCCAGCTAATCAGATCAAGTCAAAATCCCACAGAACCTAGCTTTTCAGACTGCTGGCCTATAACCTTTAAGCCCACCTAGGGTCCCCACCTCCACCCCGACTTGAGCTCCTCCCTGCCCTGGAGTTCTCACCACACAGCTGGCCCCTCCCTCTCTCCACCCACACCCACCCGAACTCCCATCTACCTCACTTCCTATCCCTCAGACCCTGCTGCTCCCTACATAGTGGAGGCCACCATGTGCTCTCTCTCCGGGAGAAATATGGCCCCTCTAATAAACCTTGTAATAAACCTTGTAATAATCTTTCGCCTGTGCCCACCTGCCTCCACATGACCCCTGGGCTGGATGTGATGGATCCTTTCATGGCCAAGGACAAGACACTTTGGTCACTAAAAAAGAATAATAACTACTAGATTATCAAAGCCTTTTTTTTTTTTTTTGCCAGTTGTGGAGCCTGAACTCTGGACCTGGGTGCTGTCTCTTAGCTCTTTCAGCTCAACTCTAGCGCTCTACCACTAAAGCCATGGCACCACTTCCAGCTTTTTCTGCTTTATGTGG